CCAACAGAGTATAGCCGATTCCTATAGCTTACCAGCAAAGTACAGCCCGATTCCTATAGCTTACCAGCAAAGTACAGCCCGATTCTTATAGCTTACCAAAAAGGTATGGCTGATTCCAATAGCTTACCAACAAAGTATGGCTGATTCCAATAGCTTACCAAAAAGGTATGGCTGATTCCTATAGTTTACCAAAAAGATATGGCTGATTCCTATAGTTTACCAAAAAGATATGGCTGATTCCTACAGCTTACCAACAAAGTATGGCCGATTCCTATAGCTTACCAGAAAAGTATGGCTGATTCCTATATTATAGCAGCAAAGTATGGCTGATTCTTTTAGCTTACTAGAAAAGTATGGCCAATTCCTATAGCTTACCAACAAAGTATGGCCGATTCATATAGCTTACCAACAAAGTATGGCCGATTCATATAGCTTACCAACAAAGTATGGCCGATTCATATAGCTTACCAACAAAGTATGGCCGATTCCTATAGTTTACCAACAAAGGATGGCCGATTCCTATAGTTTACCAACAAAGGATGGCCGATTCCTATAGTTAACAAGCATTGTATAAACTCTTTTTGCCACGTAAAACAGTTATATAAAACTCTGAGGTTCCATTTCTAAAGATCCAGAGTCTCTCTGTCCAAGGGAACTCTATACACTGTATACAAGTACAAGTTTGTAAGCCATTCTAAAAACTGCAAGAAAGTTATTGTTCTGTGAAAAGCTGTATATATGTTGGTATTCAAGAGTAATCTTTCTGTTGGCTTTCAATACTGCTTTATTTCACTTGTGAAATTTAAACAGCTATAATGTTGAAATTGAGTAAATTAAACCAAAGGCTACTCAATTGTCAAGATTTGATAAAATCAGATATATAAGTTCTCAAGCTACAGATACTGCAGTGTATCTGTAAAAGAAAAGTAGTAAAAAATAAGTTTGGGTCCTTAATTATCAACTGGTCCTTAACTGGATGGAAAAGTTGTGAAAAACGTTCATAAACATGAACTAACTTGTTTCATACTTTATCTTTCAAAGTTCTTACAAAATTGGATGGTGAAATGTAACATTTGCATGAATTACAGTAAAGATAAATTGAATTATTCATGGTAATATAGTTTCACATCAAGAGGACGTAATACAGACTCACAAGAAGCACTTAATGGTAATATAGTTTTCACATCAAGTGGACGTAATACAGACTCACAAGAAGCACTTAATACTGAAGAATAAAAATACTTTAGTTTATGTATTTCATAACACTTTTATCACTTAACTAGAGATTTAATATTAAATATTCCACGTTTATTTAGTTTTAAAGATGAATACATTTTTTATAAACTTCATAATCTTTTATTTAATAATGTTATGAGAGATTGTATTATAACTAAGATGTCATCACTTTAAATTTACCATCCTAACAATTTCCTTTGGATATTAGAAATTTTAAAAGATCTGAAGAACAAAAGACAAAACATTATTATAAATGTTGTGCTATATGAAGCTTGCCCCACATTTTATATCTGCAAGTGTATCTAATATATAATAAGTCTTGATCTGTTTTACTTGCCAGTTACACACACAACTGTAACAGAGTAATAACAGCACAGAAGTAAACAAAACAGGACTTCAGTTTTTCATTCAAAGTTTAGAGCACTGTCACAGACTATTGTGATAATTACACAAGTAGGTTCTGCCCTCAGTCTGTGGTTAAACACAGGTTGTGTTTTCTAGGTGTTCTGTACAAGAAAATACCTTGCAAACAGAATCACTCCAACCAAACCACGTCTATACAGGTGTGGACAAACCCAAGATGTTTTACTGATGTCTGCACTCTGAATGACTGACTTATTACATCAAGTTCTACATTTTGATGTGTTTGTGTAAAAGTAAAAGCATAAAATCCCCCCCCAAAAGTCTAATTTACTGGAAAAAAGAAACAGCTTTTATTACTTAAAATAGATATTTATTTCATAACTTTGTGTTTAAGAATTATCCCTCTTAATCTAAACTTTGTTACCATATAATACTGAAAATGTGTTTTAGCATCATGTACAGCTTTATATTAAGGTTTCAATGTCAAAATGTGGGAAACAAACCCTTCACAAAAGAGCTGTAATGAGGTAACCTAGAACATGATTACAGGTTACAACTAAGAATCATCAAGAGAAACGTATGTATTTTCACCCTACAACATTAAGAGGTTATTGGTCACAATCACGCACAGACTGATACAGCAAAGATACCCCCCCCCCAGTATTCTGTATGGTCCACCTCAGCCCCCCTCCATACACATACCTGGAAAAGGCTAGTTCCAGGCCTGATAACCATATAAGGATGAGAGCATAGATCTTATAGCTCCTTACTGCACTACTGTGATGCACTTTTTATAAACAGGATTCGAAGAAAAAAAAAGTTATCTGGGGGGGGCCAAAATGTATGCAAGAACTGAACAAAGTATTTATGTGGGGATCACGAGGTATGATCATTTTTAGATTTTAAATGGAGAAATTCCTAAATTATAAATTGCAGAATAAAGAAATCTTGGTAGCCTTGAAGTTATTGACCTTCTCCTACAAGATACAGACCTAGGATGCTACCCTCCCCAGTTCCTTTGACTCTGTGGTACATACACTGAGGTTTATGTTGCTCCTCTCCTTTATACACAAACAATGAGGTTTATGATGCTCCTCCCCTTTATACACAAACAATGAGGTTTATGTTGCTCCTCCCCTTTATACACAAACAATGAGGTTTATGTTGCTCCTCTCCTTTATACACAAACAATGAGGTTTATGTTGCTCCTCTCCTTTATACACAAACAATGAGGTTTATGTTGCTCCTCTCCTTTATACACAAACAATGAGGTTTATGTTGCTCCTCTCCTTTGTACACAAACAATGAGGTTTATGTTGCTCCTCTCCTTTATACACAAACAATGAGGTTTATGTTGCTCCTCTCCTTTGTACACAAACAATGGGGTTTGTGTTGCTCCTCTCCTTTGTACACAAACAATGGGGTTTGTGTTGCTCCTCTCCTTTGTACACAAACAATGGGGTTTATGTTGCTCCTCTCCTTTGTACACAAACAATGGGGTT